AAATCATGAAAAATCTTTGTGTGATTTTTTAAGAACGTTTTTGATCCAATGAAGTTTCTTCTTCTAAGACATGTAAACCTAGTTCAGCCAGATTAAGTAGTCTGAAATATTTCACATTTAGTGATATTATGTAAAATTAAATCGATAAATAAAATATTTACTATGGACGTTTTTGATCACAGCAAATTGTTCATCCAATTTTTAGTCGTATTGTTACACGCGCCCGTTCCGTTTTACACCGTATTAATATTTCAGCGTGTAAATTGCAAATATATATATATATATATATAGCATCTAACATTTAAATATACACATTGCAAATGCTTGTTATTATTAATACATATAAACATATAGATCATACAGATTATAGGCGATGGGTTTCTTTAGTTTAATTGGGCATACCTTGCATAATATTAACGCGTGTAACATTTTCCAATACTAACAAAACAAGGGTATTATTTACCAAATTAGAATAATTACGCGTTTTTTTTCATACGTGAAAGATGGATAACGATGATATTTATAAAACACCGACAATTCTTAGAAAAGAAGATTTTAGTGATAACTTTTTTTTAAATAACGATAATACTAATCCATTTTTGCTCTCTGATGTTGGTGATACTACAATTCAAAAACCAAAGGTTACAAAATTTAATACTTATAAAGATAATAAGCAAGATGTGGAAAATAACAACAACAATGATATTATTAGCAATATTAATATAATTGATATGGAAACTACACCTACAAGAACACAAGATTATATTATTGATGATAATTTTACATATAATCTACATAACGAATATGAAAATTTGGTTAAGGTGAATGGAATGGTTGCAACAATTAATAACAATATGGATCAGGCAAGACGAAATTTACAGGTAATTAATTAATTATATTGACGATAAGAATGCTAAGAAAACTTGGATGTTTAATTTTTAAATAATAATCTTTGTTTAAAGGAATTTTCCAGAGTAATTAATAACACAGATAAATTATTGGATTTATGGATAAATATATTATCGCAAAGTATTCATAATCAGCAATTATTATCAAATAAATTATGGCAAGGTTTAGCAATGGTTAGTTAAAGTAGTTAGTTAAATAAAACTAAATAAGTATGTAAGAGATGTAATTTAATTTATTTATTAAATAAATTTTAGGAGCAATTAAAGCCAATAGAAGATACAAAATCAAAAGATCCAGAAAATTTAAAAAGTAATTTAGAGAATCAAGAAGAAATGCAAGAATTAACAAAACCATGTAAATTTTTTAGTTTTAAATTTTAAATTTTAAATTTATTAATTTATTATTAATTATTTATTATTTATTATTTATTAACTAGCTGAAAGATTAAAAAAAACTGCTGTAAAAAATTCTGCTATACCTATAAGATTGAGAGGTAAAAGTAATTCAAGAAAATAATTATTATTTACATGCTGACTATGATTGGCTAAAAATCATGTTTCAAAAATTCCCAAAATAAAAAAAAAATGTGGATTTATAAAAAATTCCTTTGGTTTTTATTATTACCACTTTTAAAATTTAATATTTTATATGCTATAAAAGTTCCTCAATCTTGGAAAAATGTTGAAGTTACTAGAATGATAGACCTTTACGATCCAATCATTAGAGAATCTACTAATTATATTGTAGAAAATATTGATGATAATGAAACTATAAAAGAATATTATTATCCAATTCCTGAAAATTGGAATGAACATTTATCATATATTGAAGCTAAAGAGAAAAAGACAAACAAATTACTTAAAGTTGAAAAAATAGTAGAATTTGAATATTCTATTTATAATATGAAACAAACTTTTGTTATGAAATATTCGAATGTAACTGGAGAAATTACTTGTGGAAGCTCAAGAGATTCTTTTAGGCCATTTTTATATGCTAATAATATTGATAATGATAACTATAAAAAAATTCAGTTTTATAAAATTCATTTTGATCAACAAATTAAACCAAAGGAAAAATTTTCATTTATAGTAGAAACAGCCTATACACATCTTTTAATTCCTTATCCGTGCAAAATTGATCAGAATGATAAACAGTATTTATTATATCAAGGAAATTTATATGGAAGTTCCGCATATTCCACTGAAAAATTAAAAATAAATATAAGGTATGTATTTTCAATTATTTTCAATTTCTTTCATATTATTATTCTGATTTTATATTTTTTAAATAGGCTTCCAACATCCAATGTTCTCAATTATACAAAAAATCATAATTTAACTGTAACTCATATTGGAAATTTACTTAGTTATGAAGTATATAATAAAAATATAGAATCCAATAAATATGATAAGCTTGAAGTTCATTATGAATATCAGAAACCAATTATTACTATTAAAAATTTAAGACGTGATTTGGATTTGAGTCATTGGGGTGGAAACTTGGCAATTGAAGAACATTTTAATATTACAAATGATGGAGCAAGGTAAATATTTTCTCTTTTTTTTTAAAAAAAAAAAAAATTTTAATCAATTATGATTTTCTTCCATTAAAAAAAAAGATTAAAGGGTCAATTTTCTCGAGTTAAATATCAAAAACGTTTTTTCAATTCACATGAAATGATGGTATTAAATAATTTAAAGATAGACTTACCAATCAACACAAAAGATATTTATTATAGAGATGAGATTGGAAATGTATCAACATCACATTTGGAATATCATTATCAAAAAGACAAAGGCAATAGTGTATTTTTGAAAATTAAACCAAGATTTCCACTTTTTGGTGGTTGGAATTATACTTGGAATCACGGATATAATGTTCCACTTGGCGATTTTGTAAGATATCATTCTGAAAGTGATCAATATATTCTCAATATACCCTTCATGAATTTGTTGCCTAATGCAACATATGATCAAGTTCAAATTAGAATCATTTTACCAGAAGGAGCAAAGTAAAAATAATTCATTTCTTTTTATAAAAAAAAATTTTTTTTTAAATAAAAATGATAACAAAAAAAAATTTTTTTTTTTATAGGGATGTAAAAGTAGAATTACCATTTCCTATAGATGAAGAAATTCACTCAATTCATAAAACATATCTGGATACAATTGGAAGATATTTAATTACATTAAAAAAAAACAATTTAGTTTCTGAACATTCCAAATTTTTTCAAGTTTCTTATAAGTATAATAATTTGGAATTGTTAAGGAAGCCATTGATGCTTTTTATTGTATTTTTAGGTGGATTTTTACTAAATATGATCTATTCAAGAATGGCTTCTGTTTAAGTGAATAATAAATATAAAATCATTCATAACAATATATATATATATAACAAGGTTTTCAAGTCACAACATAACAGCAAAATGAGTGTGTACCAAAATATTGAAATTTTTAATAATTTAAAAAAGATTTTTGACAAGAAATTGTAAAGTAGCAAATATATATTAAATGTTTTTCACTATTATTGGTAATAGCAAAGTTGGAGTACAATTATTAATTACAAAATAAAATAATGAACTTTTAAAATTTTTTCAATGTCTTTAATTTCTTTGATGATTATGGTACAACACATTAATTAACTTTTCTATATAATTAATAAGAGCGATAATAAATTTTTCTAAAATTTAGGTTACTAACACCATCAATCCATTTGGGATATCATATGGTAAATTTTATGCACTTGTGTATGTTAATCTTTCGGTCATTTTGATAGATTTGAATTACTAAATTCACCAATTATTAATGCAATAGTATGAGGAGCTTGCTTGACTTGTGCCAGAAAAGATTACTCTGCCAGTATCCGACTCACTTGAAACTGAAATTATATCTACACCAGGTGCAAAATGTCCATGCAACTACCAAAGTTGAAAAATCAGCTTTTGTGTTTTTTGCCAATGATGCAGATGATACATCACAAGCTGATCAGCCTCATTTCATGCTGCCAGTACAACACATATACCTACATTAGTAAGTAATATTAATACATAACTTAATGCTTCTGAGACTTTACTATCAAATAACATATTAACAACTGCATTTTTATTTCTACTGGCCTTGTGTTCCTTCAACACAATTCTATGCATAGCCAGCTCCAAAGGAATCAAGTACTTTAGCTGCAATAAGTCTATATTTTTCTTGCTACACCTAATGTTTTGCTGGAAATAATTCCCATAATATGTGTACTGTGACATGGTTAATCAAAATCTTTCACATAGAATGTACCTTCAAATCTAGCATGGCCTCCGAATTTTTTATGGTCTGTATGCATACCACACAAATATTTAACCTAAGCCTGCTGAAAATTTTTTATTAAAAGAAAGATGTGCCTGATCTATATAATCTAAATTGAAAGTTGGTTTAATATGTATGGTACTTTCATTTCTTAATGTATAATCGCCATTATCATAATAATTGTCATAGTTCTCTTTGATGAAATTTGCTATAATTTCGAAAGTTGTGACATGTGTGTCTTTTTCAATTAATTGAATTTCTGGTAATTGTCTGAGCTGTTCCTCAACAAATAACCTTCAAGTAAGCTGCCTGAGAAAACGAACAAATTTTTTTATCATAGCCTTTGACATGAAATCCTTTATCAAAAATGAATGAAGAAATGCATTTCAAACATCAATGATTTTTCTCTTTGACAGCACTGGTTTAATGAAACCAAAAATTGTGAGAAAAGCTATCAATAAAAGGACAGAAAATTTGATCATTTTTATGAGTGAGTGAATGGGGTAAATTTTGAAGATAACAATAAAATTTACATTTATCTTCCCAACAAAAATTGTTTTCTTGTAAAGATTTCTTGTGTTCATTTTTTTTATGAAAAAAACTGATATGCACCTTTAATTATATCAGTTGCTTTTTCTTTTTTTTTTTTTTTTTTTTTTGGTAAGAAGTTAGTTATAAACTTTTGAAGTCATGTGATGATTATCAACACCATAGAAAATTGTATTTCTATTATATAGTATAATATTTTTGACAATAATAAGTCTAAATCCCAAGTTGTTTAATTAAAAAAAATTAATTTTATTTTGATCTTTTAATCCATTTTTCAATCTTATTCAAAGAATATTTAACACTTTTCTTAAGACCTGCTGTTAATATTCCTTTAAGACTCTGTGTGATTGCAGATCTAAAAACTATTTCTTTTAAACCTTTTTAAAAAAATTAAATTAGAATAAAATTAAATCAATATAAATATTTTGAATAACAATTATAAAGTTTTTTTACTTGTTTCAATATATTCTCCATAATTTCCAGAGTTTATAATACTTTTATAAACATCATTAATATCTAAAAAAAAATAAACCATATATTATATATATTAATAAAAATAATTAATAAATGACATTGTTTTAGAGTTAAATTTATAAAAATGTATTCAATTACCTGATGGCCATTGTTGACCATGTTTTGCTAGAACCATTCGATGTTCTTCTTGTATTTTGTGGCTTAGTAGCCTTGGTAGTTTCTTTATTAATTGAATTTGTGCTTTTGGACTATCGTCTTGCTGAATGAGTATATATTATATATTGTCAATATTGATTAAGCTGCATTTTTTTATTTAATTTATCAAAAATCATTATCAATTGAATTTCTCTTTTGCAATCCTCACATACTCTCACCTGAAGTTTTCCATCAGTAATAAATTCAACATTAGGAAGCCCATTAATCAGTCCACTATATAATAAATTAAAATCATGCATTTGGTTTAAAACAATATTTTTTAATTTGTTGGGGTTTTCTCCAAAATATCGACGAAAATCACCTTTAAAAAAAAAACAGATATATAAATAATATTTTCAGGAAATTTATTAATGATTACAAATTAGAGATATTCATCAAACCTTTATATGATAATGAAGCTATTGTCAAATAAAGTTGTTCCTCTGTAAAATCCTTTGGTAAAAGCAGCAATGCTGTACGTAATGCAGATATTAAATTTACTTGTTGAGCTAAATGCACCCTAGCATCATCCCTCAGTATTTTAATCTATGAAAAAAAAAATTTTATAAATATTTATGCAAATAAAAAAAATCATCAAGCCCTAAAAATAATTTAAAGTCAACTTACTTACTGGTTTATGCATCCTTCCTGCTAAATATAATGTTTCCCAGTCCAATAAATCTTTACATAATTTATCAATTGATACAACCCCATATTTAATTAACTGATATAATGAATGTTTAAAAATTAATATAATAAAAATAATCTATAATAATTCATATTATTTTTTAACCAACGACATACCATACCATCCACATTCACATATGGATTAAAATAAACTCCTGGCCCAAAATTTTCTTGTAATGTTGATATTGCCCCACTACCTAAAGATCCCATGAATGAATAATGATCTCTATGTTGCATCAAATTTAAAGAATGCCAATGTTGTGGATAACGAACACCAAAAATAAAATCAATCATTTTTTTAGACTGTAAGAGTAAGATCATTATGCATTTTAGAAATTGAATAAAACTTTTTAATTATTTTGGATAGAATAAAATAAATGAATAAATACTTTTGGATCATATCCTTTTTGTGGGAAAATTCCACTTCCATAAGCAAACGCATAACGAATTGGTGCTTGAAACTTATCTAATAATTTTTTCAATGTTCCTAATTCAAGCATAGTGGACATTCGTTTATCACATGTGTCAAAATCGATTGTTGATCTTTTTATGTTGTGAAACATGTGATTTGAATTTAAAATGGCGTGACTGCGCACAAAAACTTGTTTAACCTGAGATGTTCTCTAATATTAACATAATAACAGTAATAGGAGCTTTAGTGACCGACGCAAGTATATTGTAGACTCTGGAGATCGCTCATTTTTGTTTTATAACATGTTTATTTAAAATTTACCAATTATTTATCAATACTAAAGTATTTTTAAAATCATCTTCCGTTAGTTATAACTGTCATCTTCATTTTCTTCGTATAATATTTCAATCATTGACCATCATCTTTTTCTAATCTATTTATATAGGATTTACATTCGAGAAACATCACTTTTTATAAAATTCCAAACAATAATCACTTCTATTATTTTTCTCCCCAGAACGTTTATGATAAGCATGACCACATAGTTTAGAGATATGGAAAGCTTTAATGGCTGTAAAAATACCAATGACGCAAAAAAAACTCATTTAAAGTACAAGAAAACATTTTCCTTATTGTAATACTTCTATCTATTGCAACTTCCGAAAAAATTATATGAAATAAACATACTCTCTCCCCATAGCCTATTCCGCAAATGTCTCCTGATTAAAGTATCTAATGATTTTATAAATGTGACGATTTTCCAGAAACCTTAGCAATTGAGAATTCTAAACCGCCATGCACTCTTTAAACCTCATATATACTATTCACAGCATCTAGAGCAACATCAATAACTATGACGTCGAAAACAAAATTTGTCACAAGTCCATTTAGTGTCTTAACTAATCGCAATAATTATTATTGTCCTTCTCAAATAAGAGAACATAGAACAAATAATTTGATAAGTGATGTAGCAATAAAATGTAAACAACCAATGTTAAAACTTTTTTAAAATAACCAAAAAAGTAGTATTTTAAAAAATCTACAGAATAGAATATATACTGTATAATTTCGCCCAATTTAATTAAATGTTATTTTATTACTAGTTTATTCTTTTTTTTATAGTTCGTGGAATGTTTATTCGAACAGAAAATAACACCAAATTAAATTCATTCCAGGTATTCCAAATACATACATATATTACATTTATTAGCTTTATTTCATTGATGTCTTGCTAGAGTATTCAAACTATAAATTCGAATAGTATATTGAACTCATTAGACAAAATCTAAATAAAGTAATCAGATGTTACAAGTGGGACCAAATGGCAAAAAATTTTATTGGACTGGAGGAAAAAAAGATAAGATTTTGGATGAGGCAAAAAAATTATTATTAGAACAAAAAAAATTTGGTCTAGAAAAAAATTAAACTATTGCTAAACAATATTAATCAATCAATACATTAATAATTGACAACCAATACTACAACAGAAAGAACAAAATCAAGAGTAACAATATCTGCAAAAATCAATGAGAACATCACCATTTATGCTAAATAATTTACCAAAGAATGATTCACTTGGACAAATAAAAGAAGATCATAAAAAATCTAAGCAAGTTAAAGAAAAAATATGACAAATTGCTTATTCAATGACAAACTTTGAAACTGGAACGTTATGGGAATCTACTTTAAATTTTAGATGAAAATGATTTTTGAATGAAAATTCAAAATAAAAAATATTTACCTCATATTATACTTGGAAAAGAAATTTGGGCTGAAAGACTTTGAAAAACAAGAGGAAAAAACTTCTAATTAAACTTTCTTAGTAAACTACTAGTTGGTCAATAATTGATTGAACATTACTATTTCTTTTAACACCAAAATAGGTAAATATAATTTTATTTTTAACATATAGGGAGTGGTCAATAGAAAGGGGGGATAACTACCAAAATCATGATTTTGAGTTAACACCACTTCTACATGCAATTCACCACAAGAATTAATTTCAGAAAAATATGCCAACTTTACTGAGATATTTTCTGTTAAAGTTTTTTTTTAAATAGTAAAACAAAAGCATGGCAATAGAAACAGTGATAATTGCAAACATTATGATTTCAAGTTAACAACATTTATATATGTAATTCATCACAAGGATTAATTTTAGCTTAAGAACCATGTCTACTTTACTTAATGATATTTTCCATTAAAGGTTTCAAAATGTGATTTTGCAGTTATTCCTTTTTCTATTGTCCATACCCCATCAACTTTGTTATATATTCAAATTGCTCAAAAGGTATCCATTCTAAAATATATCCTGGCAGAGATGATTTCATTTGACATTGTTTAATAAAATTATCAATTATGTTATTTCCAGATGTCCAAGTGGTGAAAAGACTCTGTAATTGTAAACTAATACAACCTTCACAGAACTTATCAGAGTATCTTGTCAATTTACACTTGTTACATTCTTTTGGTTTTCCCAATTTATCCCTTGCATTCACTAATTCAAAATTATAAAAAAACCTTTCCTTACAATATTTTTTTTTCATTTTCAGAAAGCTCCTTGATTTTTTTGACCAGTGAAAATAAATAATCTTTTCTACTTTCTTTATCAGAATTAACATTAGTGTTATTAAGTATTTCACCATAAATTTTATGTACAAAATCCTCTCTTTCTTGTGATAATGATGATAATAGTTTAGCATATGACATTATACAAAAATATAATATATAAAATTCGACTTTTCTTTAATATTAATATTAACATACAAAAAAGAATGTTGCTGTGTTACTTTCTAAATGTCATTATTTGTGTAATATTTTCTTTTTATATGCTTTCCTAACAATTTTACCCAAATTTGAATGCATGGTAAACATTCTGTTATATAAAGAAGACTCATTAAAGACTCGAGACAATAAATCCGGTGCAATTACAGTAAGGAATCATGAATCTTATATTTTGTTGCACAACTTTACTAAACCGAATTGTTGAGGGAGAATGAAAACAAAATCAAAGGGTGGGACTTTGTAAATGAGTCGTTATTTTCTTTTTTTGCTATTAATATTAATATGTAATTACACTTCCTGTGACATATCGTTTGACTGCTATGCTGACTTTGAAATGATTTGCAAATTGATTTGAAACTAATTTGAACACAAATATCTTCGTTTTCCAAAAATGATAAATGGTTATTATTATGGTTATTTTTACATCCCTGTACTCATGCATATTCTCATTTCTATCTATTTGACGAAAAATTATCTATTTTTTTATTCAAAACGTCAGGGTTGAGCGAAGCGAATGCTTGACCGAAAGGAATCGTGTTTTGCTTTGATATTTTTTGCGTGGTGTCTACCGCTGTCTACCATTAGATCTTCGACTTGCTTTGACGTTTCGAACCATTTGAAATGACCAAAAACTTACGGCTTTGCCTTGGAACCTTTACCTCAGATCCCATATCGGCATACAATGTGTTAGTGTTAGTATGTTTTCAAGTCCGGGATTCAAAATCAATATTTGTTGTTATTATTATTATCGGTCAATTACAATTCAATGATAAATGAACAAACAATATGTACAAATTTTTGATTTTGACCATTTGAGAGATGATAGGAAAATTTTATTTTTAATTTCCTTTCAAGAAAATAAATAAAATACCTTGATTAATCTTTGCAAAGAAGGGGGGGGTTTTTTTAATAATCAAAATTTGTAAGTAACTTTTGATGTTTGCATGAAGCTTATTCTTCTATAACGATTGACTTGGAAAAAAAAATCCAATTGATCCAATTGACCTTTAATCTGGAACAATAAATAAACAGAGGAAAAGATTAGGACAAAAAGATTCCTTTTTAATTAGGAAAAGAAAGCTTATCATTGGTTGATTTTTTTAACAGTCGAAATTCGTAAATAACTTTTGATTCACACAAGGGTTCCTCTTTGCAAAGGATCTTTTATTAAATTTATTAGTATATTAATTTTTTTTAAATAAATAAATTTTTCTCAATGCAACGAATAAAAATATGACTGGCTAATATTGATGCTCCGAGCGAATATATAGATACCTCGCATTTGAATGTAACGTGCAAAGCTGAATCATATGTAGAACAACATTTCAGCACTATATACATACCTCGACCCTCAAATTCGAATGCAACGGAAAAAGCAAACCAATGCACCGTTTTTGGAGGGTAGTGGATCTATTTATATATGTTTTTGTTGTAATTTATTAGACTACTCATTCAATGCACCATCTGGCCATGAAATAGTTTATTTTTATTAAAGATTGCATCATTGATCATGAATACATGATAGTATGTTTAGATACTTTGCATCCGGTGCTAATTTTGATGCTCCGAACGAATATATATGTATGTGATTGAGTTGTGTGATTTTATAATATTATGACACCAGAATATCATCGCATTATAATCTATATTTCACAAAACTCTCTGTTACATTTTCGTTTAAAAACTTTCTTTGCGGAAAACTGAATAACATGTAACAAACGATTTTTTCGTAAAACATTTTTTTGATCGCCTTTAAGTTCTTCTCTAACAGGATTAATTGATAAGGAAAAGCAAAAATTGCATTATTTAAAGAACAACTTCGTCGATTTAACAAAAGAGAATTTCAGCATTCTTTGAAGATTTAAAAGTGGTAAAAATAGAAAACAAAATTAAAATTTACAAAATAAGCACCAAAACCTGTCTTATCTGCTATGTAAAACTCGTTCCAAGTATCAATTTTTATCAATATATGTTGCCTCAAACTCAGACACCAAAGACAGCTCAAGCACATCATTAATAATATTATTGCGTATTACTATTACGCGTAGTTAACTTCAAAAGTCAAAATTTTGAAAAAATATCAACTTAACGCAACTCATATGTATGTAAAGACGATTTTATTTTATGAAATGCAATTATAAAAGAATAGTTTTAATTTTTAAAAAAGAAGAGGCATTTTTATTTTGAAGAAAATATATGGAAAAAAACAAGTATTATTATTAACTTTTAATATAAACTTCAATTATTAGTTTCATATCAAGAGTGACTCAATATAAGCAGGATCATAGACTAAAGGCACACAATTACATCATCTCCTTACTTGGGTGTAAATTTCCAGTAAATGACTATATACCTTTAATATCTGTTGTTTCTTCATAATTAGAACACGTAAAATAATTAAACCTATAAAAAAAATTTATTGAATTTGACTTTTTTCAAGTAATTTTTTTATCATTATTTTTGAAAGAAATGAATTTCAAACTTAAAATAAAAACATGGAAATAAAACAAAAAGATAATTAAGATAATCAATCATCTATGCATGTTTCAGTGACTAAAAGAAAAATGATGATGATGATTTCGTTATTTTTATAAAGCCTTCAAAGAATCTTCACCAATCAAGTCTATTTCAATATCCAGTTCTTCCTATGTTATCATTATTGATAATTAATATTATGATTATGAAATGTTTTGCATAAGGAAAAACTAAGGTTTCTAAATTTATGATTTATTACCATAAAATCTGTTTTCTTTTTTTCTGTAGCTTCTAAAATCACATTAAACATATCATAAAACTATAATAATAAATAAATATAGGTATTATTATATATATATATATACATATTCATATACATGTACATATCATAACATTTCATTTCCTACCATTCTTTTTCTTTGTCTCCAAAATTTAAGATTTTTTTCATATTCATCTTCAATTTTTTTCTTTTCTTCTTCGGATATTTGTGCTATGCCTGATTGCAATTCTTGTAGTCTTTCACTATAATTTTGATTCTTCAAATAATTGTTGATAAATATTATTAATTAATTGAAATTTTTTTGAAAATTTTGAATTTGCTACTCAAAAAACTTTTTACCTCTTTTTTTACAGTTGAAATTCTTTAACATTAGTTAACAACAGACATCATCAAATCTTAGTTAGCAAGTGTTAGTTGTAAAATTTTCTCACACTACTCCCATAATTATTTTTCTTTACCTTTCGTCAAATTGTTTATTAGATAAAGATTTACATAATCCATTGAACACTTATCAATATCATAAAAAAGATTTATTAGATAGCAATTAATAAATATATTTAATAAATCATCACCATCGTCATCATTACTATTAATTTACCTGATTGTAATTTATGATTCTTTTCTTTGAATTCATTTATTTCTTTTCTAAGATCTTCAATTTCTGCATCCATTTCAAGTAATTCTTCGTTAGAAGGTGATTCAAATTGATTCTATATATATATAATATATTATATATCAATATCTATTAATAACATTATTATTACTAAACAATTAAAGTTTCTTACTTGTTGTATACAATAAATGGTTTGTTTCCCATAGGTTTTAAATCTAATCTCCTCTTTTTTAACAAGTGAATTCAAGGCCTTTTGTGCAACAGTTTTTGTGACAGCTCCACCAAGATTATTTATAATATCAGCTAATTAATATTATCAATTTTGTTAAACATTATAGAAATTTAATTATTTATGAATAATAAATATAATAAAAGCTTACTGGCACTATAAGGACGATTGTGTTCTCTCAAGTATCCCAATATTATTTGCTCTGCTAAAATTATTGAAATATTACAACAATTTAAATTTAATAAATTCTCGTAATCTAATATAGTATTTATATTTTTTGAAATAATAATTCAAGGCAATAATAAAATACCATCGTTGCTTTTAGCAGCTGGTGCTTTCTTTTGCTTTGACATTTTTTTTTTTTTTCAAAAATTTAAAAAATTAAACGCGTCACGCAAAAATTTGGAAATTGATTTTTTAATTGGCTAGTAATTCCTGAAGTAAACAGTTAGTACAAGAAGAGAAGACACTAACCAGAAATATAATTTTTAATTGGTTGAATATTCTTCCAGACTAAATGTCAATTATATATATAGTTGACAGAAAAGAACACAATCAAGTAAGTCTTTGTGGTTAGAAAGATAGAATAAAAATTAAAGGAAAATGATAGAGATTAAAATAATAATTCAGCTCATCATAAAAATAACTAGCCAATTAAAAAATCAATTTCCAAATTTTTGCGTGACGCGTTTAATTTTTTAAATTTTTGAAAAAAAAAAAAAATGTCAAAGCAAAAGAAAGCACCAGCTGCTAAAAGCAACGATGGTATTTTATTATTGCCTTGAATTATTATTTCAAAAAATATAAATACTATATTAGATTACGAGAATTTATTAAATTTAAATTGTTGTAATATTTCAATAATTTTAGCAGAGCAAATAATATTGGGATACTTGAGAGAACACAATCGTCCTTATAGTGCCAGTAAGCTTTTATTATATTTATTATTCATAAATAATTAAATTTCTATAATGTTTAACAAAATTGATAATATTAATTAGCTGATATTATAAATAATCTTGGTGGAGCTGTCACAAAAACTGTTGCACAAAAGGCCTTGAATTCACTTGTTAAAAAAGAGGAGATTAGATTTAAAACCTATGGGAAACAAACCATTTATTGTATACAACAAGTAAGAAACTTTAATTGTTTAGTAATAATAATGTTATTAATAGATATTGATATATAATATATTATATATATATAGAATCAATTTGAATCACCTTCTAACGAAGAATTACTTGAAATGGATGCAGAAATTGAAGATCTTAGAAAAGAAATAAATGAATTCAAAGAAAAGAATCATAAATTACAATCAGGTAAATTAATAGTAATGATGACGATGGTGATGATTTATTAAATATATTTATTAATTGCTATCTAATAAATCTTTTTTATGATATTGATAAGTGTTCAATGGATTATGTAAATCTTTATCTAATAAACAATTTGACGAAAGGTAAAGAAAAATAATTATGGGAGTAGTGTGAGAAAATTTTACAACTAACACTTGCTAACTAAGATTTGATGATGTCTGTTGTTAACTAATGTTAAAGAATTTCAACTGTAAAAAAAGAGGTAAAAAGTTTTTTGAGTAGCAAATTCAAAATTTTCAAAAAAATTTCAATTAATTAATAATATTTATCAACAATTATTTGAAGAATCAAAATTATAGTGAAAGACTACAAGAATTGCAATCAGGCATAGCACAAATATCCGAAGAAGAAAAGAAAAAAATTGAAGATGAATATGAAAAAAATCTTAAATTTTGGAGACAAAGAAAAAGAATGGTAGGAAATGAAATGTTATGATATGTACATGTATATGAATATGTATATATATATATATAATAATACCTATATTTATTTATTATTATAGTTTTATGATATGTTTAATGTGATTTTAGAAGCTACAGAAAAAAAGAAAACAGATTTTATGGTAATAAATCATAAATTTAGAAACCTTAGTTTTTCCTTATGCAAAACATTTCATAATCATAATATTAATTATCAATAATGATAACATAGGAAGAACTGGATATTGAAATAGACTTGATTGGTGAAGATTCTTTGAAGGCTTTATAAAAATAACGAAATCATCATCATCATTTTTCTTTTAGTCACTGAAACATGCATAGATGATTGATTATCTTAATTATCTTTTTGTTTTATTTCCATGTTTTTATTTTAAGTTTGAAATTCATTTCTTTCAAAAATAATGATAAAAAAATTACTTGAAAAAAGTCAAATTCAATAAATTTTTTTTATAGGTTTAATTATTTTACGTGTTCTAATTATGAAGAAACAACAGATATTAAAGGTATATAGTCATTTACTGGAAATTTACACCCAAGTAAGGAGATGATGTAATTGTGTGCCTTTAGTCTATGATCCTGCTTATATTGAGTCACTCTTGATATGAAACTAATAATTGAAGTTTATATTAAAAGTTAATAATAATACTTGTTTTTTTCCATATATTTTCTTCAAAATAAAAATGCCTCTTCTTTTTTAAAAATTAAAACTATTCTTTTATAATTGCATTTCATAAAATAAAATCGTCTTTACATACATATGAGTTGCGTTAAGTTGATATTTTTTCAAAATTTTGACTTTTGAAGTTAACTACGCGTAATAGTAATACGCAATAATATTATTAATGATGTGCTTGAGCTGTCTTTGGTGTCTGAGTTTGAGGCAACATATATTGATAAAAATTGATACTTGGAACGAGTTTTACATAGCAGATAAGACAGGTTTTGGTGCTTATTTTGTAAATTTTAATTTTGTTTTCTATTTTTACCACTTTTAAATCTTCAAAGAATGCTGAAATTCTCTTTTGTTAAATCGACGAAGTTGTTCTTTAAATAATGCAATTTTTGCTTTTCCTTATCAATTAATCCTGTTAGAGAAGAACTTAAAGGCGATCAAAAAAATGTTTTACGAAAAAATCGTTTGTTACATGTTATTCAGTTTTCCGCAAAGAAAGTTTTTAAACGAAAATGTAACAGAGAGTTTTGTGAAATATAGATTATAATGCGATGATATTCTGGTGTCATAATATTATAAAATCACACAACTCAATCACATACATATATATTCGTTCGGAGCATCAAAATTAGCACCGGATGCAAAGTATCTAAACATACTATCATGTATTCATGATCAATGATGCAATCTTTAATAAAAATAAACTATTTCATGGCCAGATGGTGCATTGAATGAGTAGTCTAATAAATTACAACAAAAACATATATAAATAGATCCACTACCCTCCAAAAACGGTGCATTGGTTTGCTTTTTCCGTTGCATTCGAATTTGAGGGTCGAGGTATGTATATAGTGCTGAAATGTTGTTCTACATATGATTCAGCTTTGCACGTTACATTCAAATGCGAGGTATCTATATATTCGCTCGGAGCATCAATATTAGCCAGTCATATTTTTATTCGTTGCATTGAGAAAAATTTATTTATTTAAAAAAAATTAATATACTAATAAATTTAATAAAAGATCCTTTGCAAAGAGGAACCCTTGTGTGAATCAAAAGTTATTTACGAATTTCGACTGTTAAAAAAATCAACCAATGATAAGCTTTCTTTTCCTAATTAAAAAGGAATCTTTTTGTCCTAATCTTTTCCTCTGTTTATTTATTGTTCCAGATTAAAGGTCAATTGGATCAATTGGATTTTTTTTTCCAAGTCAATCGTTATAGAAGAATAAGCTTCATGCAAACATCAAAAGTTACTTACAAATTTTGATTATTAAAAAAACCCCCCCTTCTTTGCAAAGATTAATCAAGGTATTTTATTTATTTTCTTGAAAGGAAATTAAAAATAAAATTTTCCTATCATCTCTCAAATGGTCAAAATCAAAAATTTGTACATATTGTTTGTTCATTTATCATTGAATTGTAATTGACCGATAATAATAATAACAACAAATATTGATTTTGAATCCCGGACTTGAAAACATACTAACACTAACACATTGTATGCCGATATGGGATCTGAGGTAAAGGTTCCAAGGCAAAGCCGTAAGTTTTTGGTCATTTCAAATGGTTCGAAACGTCAAAGCAAGTCGAAGATCTAATGGTAGACAGCGGTAGACACCACGCAAAAAATATCAAAGCAAAACACGATTCCTTTCGGTCAAGCATTCGCTTCGCTCAACCCTGACGTTTTGAATAAAAAAATAGATAATTTTTCGTCAAATAGATAGAAATGAGAATATGCATGAGTACAGGGATGTAAAAATAACCATAATAATAACCATTTATCATTTTTGGAAAACGAAGATATTTGTGTTCAAATTAGTTTCAAATCAATTTGCAAATCATTTCAAAGTCAGCATAGCAGTCAAACGATATGTCACAGGAAGTGTAATTACATATTAATATTAATAGCAAAAAAAGAAAATAACGACTCATTTACAAAGTCCCACCCTTTGATTTTGTTTTCATTCTCCCTCAACAATTCGGTTTAGTAAAGTTGTGCAACAAAATATAAGATTCATGATTCCTTACTGTAATTGCACCGGATTTATTGTCTCGAGTCTTTAATGAGTCTTCTTTATATAACAGAATGTTTACCATGCATTCAAATTTGGGTAAAATTGTTAGGAAAGCATATAAAAAGAAAATATTACACAAATAATGACATTTAGAAAGTAACACAGCAACATTCTTTTTTGTATGTTAATATTAATATTAAAGAAAAGTCGAATTTTATATATTATATTTTTGTATAATGTCATATGCTAAACTATTATCATCATTATCACAAGAAAGAGAGGATTTTGTACATAAAATTTATGGTGAAATACTTAATAACACTAATGTTAATTCTGATAAAGAAAGTAGAAAAGATTATTTATTTTCACTGGTCAAAAAAATCAAGGAGCTTTCTGAAAATGAAAAAAAAATATTGTAAGGAAAGGTTTTTTTATAATTTTGAATTAGTGAATGCAAGGGATAAATTGGGAAAACCAAAAGAATGTAACAAGTGTAAATTGACAAGATACTCTGATAAGTTCTGTGAAGGTTGTATTAGTTTACAATTACAGAGTCTTTTCACCACTTGGACATCTGGAAATAACATAATTGATAATTTTATTAAACAATGTCAAATGAAATCATCTCTGCCAGGATATATTTTAGAATGGATACCTTTTGAGCAATTTGAATATATAACAAAGTTGATGGAAGGTGGATTTAGTTCGATTTATACTGCTACATGGACAAGAGGAATTATTGATGATTACAACGAAAATAAAAAGGAATTTAGTTATTTAGAAGGAGGGCAACTAGTAGTATTAAAAAGTTTAAATAATTCAAGTAATCCAGGAAAAGCTTTTTTTGATGAGGTTGGTAGTTGTCATTTAAAACAATACTGTATTATATATAATACTAATTGATCTTATATTTATTTCCAGGCAAAGAATTATTGTGAAATTAAATCAAATTTAATTGTTCATTGCTATGGTATAACTAAATTCCCAGATAATGGGAATTATGCAATAGTTTTAAATTATTTAGAAGGAAATTTAAGGGATTACTTGCAAAAAAACCATTTAAATTTAACATTAAAAGATAGGATTACAATCTTTGATTGTTTATGTAGTGCATTACATCAAATACATAAAAAAAATTTAATCCATTGTGATTTACATAGTGGTAATATACTTGTGGAAGGAGGTAATTGTTATATTACAGATTTAGGATTATGTGGATCAGTTGATGAAAAATCATCAGATAAAATCTATGGAATTGTATCATATGTTGCACCTGAGCTACTTAGAGGAAAAAGGAACACCAAAGAATCCGATATCTATAGTGTTGGAATGTTAATGTAGGAAATATTTGCAGGTCATCCACCATTTGATGATAGAGCTCATGATCATTGTTTAATTTTTTGATATATGTGAAGAAAGTTTATGACCACCAATATTACCAGGAATGCCTGAAGATTATGCACAAATGATGCAGAGGTGTTGGTGTGTGGATCCATCAAAAAGGCCAACTAGTAGAGAACTTCGGGACTTTGCTGAAGATAAACATAAAGAGATTCATGATAATGATTGTAGCAGCAGTGGTGCTGGTGCTGGTGCTGGTGATGATTTGCAACAAATACACAAATCACATCCAGATGCATACCATACAAATAAAATATTAAATGAAGAGATTGCTAGATCAAAATGCTTTAAAAGTTATACAATTAATGACAGTTCATTGGATTTTGAAGGTGAATAAAAATTTCATTATTATTAATTGGAAATTATTATCCATTAATTATTATTAACAATTTGATTTTAATAAACACTAGATTATAGTAATTAAAAGAAAGAATTGAATTTAATCTCTACTATAAATTTATTTGTAATAATTATTTATCTTTTTATTTTTATTTCAATATTTTTTATAATAAACTTTTACAGTTTTCTGATTTCTTGTTGAATGGTGATATTGCAAGGTAGTCTTTTGATTATTGCTTAACTTTTGGGTTACTCTTGTTAGTTAATTGCAAGCAACTCACAATGATTTAATGCTTATCATTAATAAGTGATAACTGTAAGTAAACAAATAAAGATAGCTCTTTACAAAGCTCAAAAGTTCCTTTTATTTATTTGTGACCAATTTATTTTGATTGTTTATCCTTTTTATATTCTTGCCCAATTGCAAACTCCCTTTGGTTTATTTACAAAACAACTCAAGTAACTTGTTTAACAGCCTTACATTTACAATTAAAATAATATTACCAGTATTACTGATTAACCAACCATTGGATAATACTTCATTGACACCCACTAGTTAACCAACAACATTCGTCCTAACCTTGCTTGCTTTCTAACTAAAGCAAATAAGCGTGGCTTTTTACCAAAGCTCCCACAATTGTTACCTTTTACCAAGGCACTAACTACACTTGTTGTTTTTATCAAAGTGCCTTAAACAAAGAAAATAAAAACAATGTTTTATTTTTATTTTTATTTTTAAAAGTTATTAATGATTAATTTTATTTAATAATGATTCTATCACAGATATCACCGATTAATTTGGGAGAGCGTGTTTTTAATTGGTGATAACAATTATTTTTATTTTTGCGTGGATCAGAATGAATAGGGATCAACGAATTGATTTTGTTATTAGTGAATAATTTTGTTTAAAGAAGATAATAGTTTAAATAAAATATTTATTTTATTTTAGTTTTCTTAGTCGAAACTAATTAACTTGCAAGAAAGTTTTCTTAGTCGAAACTAATTAACTTGTAACAAAGTTTCCTTAGTCGAAACTAATTAACTTGTAAGAAAGTTTTCCTTAGTCGAAACTAATTAATTTGTAACAAAGTTTTCCTTAATCGAAACTAATTAACTTGTAAGAAAGTTGCTTTTACATTAGGTCGAAATCAAGTTCTTTATATACATGTTCATTTACATATTAGCCCGAATTGCGCGAGTCCGCTTGGTTTGGGCGATTCCGCTCAAATTGTGCGTTTTCGCTCAGATTGCGCGAATTCGCTCACTTTGTACTTGGGCGAATCCGCACGTTTTGAGCGTTCCGGGAGAATCGTCATTAATCTCTACTAAATAAAGTTAAATATGAATGTGCTACGGATTGA